CTTTTCAGACGCCTCGGAGGGTTATCAGGAATCGAATAGGAAGCAAGGTTAGAGACAAGAGGGTTGGGATGGTTATGAAGTTTATTATGGAAGGACAGATATCTGGATTGGGCCAAATCTGATACATAAGGAACATTAAGGTCATTATGGATAATTTTATTTGTAACAAAGTAAGGGGCATTGAGGATTTTACGAAGGATTTTGGATTGCAAGGACTGTATGCGAGAGGAATTCGAAGGCTTGGTGGAGCCCCATAGCTCAACCCCGTAAGTCCAAATAGGCCTTATTATAGTCATGTAAATCAGTCTTTTATAATTGATTGGAAGGTTAGAGCGTTTGTCTAGTAAGTGTTGAAGTAGTCGGAAACGTCGAGCGGTTTCTTGTCGTTTCAGTCTGGTACGATTATTCCAAGTTAGACGTTTGTCCAGATGGAGTCCTAGGTAACGGATTTGTTCAACAGGAATAAGTGAGGTGTTGTTAAAGGATACTGAAGGACAGGAAGTCATTGGTTTACGACGAAGGGTGAAGGTAATTTGATGGGATTTATTGGAATTTATTTTAATTTTCCAGTTCTGACACCATTCTTCAAGGTTTATGATGTGGGATTGAAGGGTTTGGGATGCAATAGATGGGTCGTTACTAAGTGATAGGATACATGTGTCATCAGCATATGTGGTGATGACAGTGTTGGGATGGGTTGGGTTGTCAGCTGTATAAGAATAACTTTTAATTCGCAAAGTATAGTTCGCATTTATGTTTAATTGTGACTTATCAGGTGCACTTATCTCACTTATACATAATATATAGCTTGAAAATAAGTAGTTGTTATACTAAATATCGAAATTATTTATTAGTTTATCTATTTATAATTTTTTTTTGTCTATAAAATATTTATTTGCGCCTGTCAACTTATTGTTGACAATCAGCAAATGTGATGGCGATACAGGAAATAATGACATGACAGGCATGGGGAAGGAAAGTACTCAGCAGTACCTCTTTCCTACTTGTTCCAATTACTTAGGTTGTTTAAGGAAGGAGATCCCTCATCCAACGCCTTTTTAGTCTCCTCCTCATGTTCTGAGGTATGTCAGCTGTGGCCATTTCTCTTATAAGTCTGTTATTATGTTCATTTAAATTTGTGTAAAATCGTTGATATAGGATCGTTATATGTTGGTCAACTATTGGAAAGTGGAGTTCAGTAAGTAGAGTTTTGTTAGACACGTACCAACGTACTTTTGTTATGAGTCGCAATAATTTTGATTGGAACGTTTGAAGTTAATGCAGAAATTTATTTTTTTTTAACTTATAAGTATAATGTTCTTTGTTTTTTTTGTCTTCATATTTCCATCCACACCTGTCATGAGCTTGACAATAAGCAGATGTGTAACTAATAAGAAAAGTTGACATTTTAGGCATGAGGAAAAAAATATTACCCAGCAGCACTTCTTCCTGATCTTGATTTATTTCCTTAATTCAAGAAAGGAGATCTCTCATCCAGCTCCTCTTTAGTCGTCTCCTGATAGGCATGTGAGCTGAGGCCATGTCGTTAATAAGTCCGTTGTGATGTCCATGTAGTTTAAGACAAAATCTGGAGTAGAGATCACGTATGGTCGATAGTTGGATGTCGTAAGACGTTATGTAAAGTTTTGTTGTTTACGTATCAAGGAGCGCCTGTTATAAGTCATGAAATTTTGTAAAATAGGACTCCACCTGGACAAACGTCTAACTTAGAATCCTCCTACTAGACTGAAACGTCAAAAAACCGTTCGACGTTTCCTTTCACTCCAACACTTACTATACAAACGCCCTAATTTCTAATTCGTTACAAATGACTCATACACATGACAATAAGGCCTATTTGGACTTACGGAGTTGAGCTATGGGACTCCACCAACCTTCATATTTCTCTCGTATCCAACCCTTACAATCCAAAATCCTCAATGCTCCTTACTTTGTTATAAATAAAACGATCCATAATGACCTTAATATTCTTTATGTTTCAGATTTGGTCCAAGCCAAATATATATCCTTCCATAATAAACTTCATAACTATCCCAACCTTCTCGTTTCTAACCTCTTGCTTCCTCTTCAATTCCTGATAACCCTCCGAGGTGTCTGAAAAGAAGATGGCCACATGATCTCCTAATGTAGACATATTATTGGAGTGCTTCCAGTGGTTAGTTTCTCAACATGTGTTTCATGTCATTATATTCATGTACTGATTTACTAGATATATTTGTTTTATACAGTTGTAAATATCATAATAAATAATAATAAACAATTTTTTTTAAACTTAATTATTTATATTTTTCAACGCAAATATTTATTGACCTTCAGTGTGAAAGATTGTATTGATAAAATAACTTTTTTTCTGAAATACGTTTTGTGGTCACTGCTCTGTTGTTGAAATTACACTGTTACTACCCAAAAACTGAAAAATGTTTTTTTCTTTAAAAGACATGGATGAACAGTTCATATCAAATTACGATACATTCACATAATACATGCAGTATAACAGAGACACAAATTGTCAATTTGTTGTAGAAGATTATAATATTGGACGTCATGAGTGACAATCAACAAACTGAACATGAACTGATGTATCACTCGATCATTTAGTTGTAAATTGTCACTATGATGTATTCGACATTTCAACTCTGTTCTCAATCAAACTTCAAGAATAATAGAATGTTGTAGAAGTAATATTGGAGTATTCTCGAAACAAATGCTATTGTAATTATATTACAAATGGTAATTAACATGGTAACAAAAAACAATAGTAATTAAAAAATTTTTTTTTCCCCTCCCTTGAAAAATATTTCGTGAATTTGTGAATAATAATAATATATAAAATATTTAACCGTGGACTTAATATAACTCGGGCATAAATAAGCCCGATCAATGTGTATATTCTTTTTTTTTTATGGTGTTCATTATCTGTCTTCCGTTTCAGTATCTAACAATAATCACCACTTTCCATAGCAATTACAGATATAAATCTTTTCTTTCTGGGCTATTTCTTGATGTATCCGTTTTCCGTGTTCATTTGAAATTTGAAAAGGAAGAAATCAGAATGACAGTGCAAAAAATGAATTTTTAATGACATCTAATGAAACCTTTATATGATTTTTTTTTCTATTCCCTATTAATATAATTATTATTATTTATTATTATTATTATTATTACTATTAATATAAAAAATATTGGCATGAGGCATGAAATATAAAATCCCTAAAAATATTTATCTGCACGTATCATGGTATTGATAATTAGAAGATGTGTTGTGATAAATATTGGCATTATAGGTATGAGGAAGGATATTACCCAGCAGCACCTCTTCCTGGTCATTATTTACTTCCTTGATTTAGGTGAGGAGATCTTTCATCCAGCTCCTTTTTAGTCTCCTTCTAATGGACATGTCGTTTATAAGTCCGTTTGTGTGTCCGTGTAGTTTGAGCTGAAAACGAGAGTAGAGAGTACTTATGTGTTGGTCGATAGTTGGTTGTCGTAATTCGTCGTGTAAAGTTTTGTTGTTGACGTACCAGAGAGCTCTTGTTATAAGTCGTAAAATTTTGGATTAAAATGTCTGTAGTTTTTGTAAGTGCGTCTTTTTTACAGAACCTTAAATTTGTGAGGCGTATGTCTATATGGGTTTGAGTAGGTAAGTGCATGTATTTAGTTTTTGTCGCACTTTCAATTTCGATTTAGAAAAAAGTGAGTACAGTATTTTCAGTCGCTTGTTTAAAGTCTGTCGTTTCATTTTGGCGTGTGGGCCCCAGGTCATACTTCTGTCGAATATTAGTTCCAGGTACTGTATTTGTTGTGTTATATGATAAAAATAATTCTTTAACAATTTCTTTTTACTTTGTAGTTCTTTTTCAACTAAAAATTGTTGACATACGTTTTCGAACACAGACCAAACTCTTTTATCATTTTCAGTTATTTTATTCTTTGGATTCAGGTCATTAAATAGAGCGCGGATATGTGGCCAATTATTTTCGAAGCCAAATGAGCATTCAAAATTTTTTCTTGTAATAGCTTCAAAATTAATTTTTTTTTCACTTTTCGTTGAAGTTTTGAATGATAAAATAACGCCCAAAAACACCTATTTTTTAACCTAAAACATAAATTTGACATGAAATGGTGCCTGTGGATTCTGATGTTGCCCAAATGCGAGACCGAGACGAGTCTTGGTCTTGCGCAAGAGCCTCGCAACGGTCTTGCAGTACTCTATTAGCTTAGAACTATAGAGATATTATTGTATATGTATTTTTTACATATACCATATATAACAGTTAAATGCATAAGTATATTTTGTACTTTATTCTTGTTATTCTAAAGGGACTTTGTCCCTAAGAAAATAAAATTATTTTCTATTCTATTCTATTCTATTTTATATTGCTTATACCAATTATTTATATATCGAATCTAAATTTTCAAGCATTAGTAACTATTTTGCCTTAATTTTCATTGAAAAAACCAATTTTTTTTAACAGTCTTGGTCTTGGTCTTACAACCAAGACCGATTTTGGGCAACAGGGTTCGTGTTCAGCATATTTCAAAACACACAAAAAAAGTTTCTCTTGAACGAAGAATTTTGATGGAGAGCAATGTAATTTGCAGTAAAATTTAAACAACATAAGTCATCATAGTCATCTTTTACAAAAGATTTAAGATGTCAGCGACCACATTTTTTCTTTTGTCAATAATTATTAAGGTTTTATATTTTCTCGGTACTTTTAGTGATACTATAATATATTTCATGCATCTTATATGGGCATGATTTTAATCATCAGGGTCTTAAACTAGCAGACCATTTGCCACACTATTTGAAGTTAGTATAAAAACTTATATTTTTATTGAAAGCTAGGACTCGAAAATGAAAATGAATGTTTATATTAATGAAATGAAAAGAATACATAATAAAATGTAATCTATTTGAATATATTATAATTATAAATAATAAACAGTTTACTCGAATTAAACATTTCCATATCCAGAATGAAGGATTTGTCATCGCCATTGAATGCAGACTCCAGTTGGGACCTGGATTTTCGACGCAGAGATCCCTTTCGTTGGAAATCCTTGACACAGGCTTCCTAAGGAGACCCCCTCCAAGTGAAGGTGCTAGAAGATTTGTATATATATCGAAAGGAGTTCACAAGTGGGCACATTCAACCATCAACATGTACAAGCTTGTAAGTGTTTAATTAATATAACTTAATTATTTTATTTAATATAGGTTTTTACAGGAACCAACAGAAGGTTAAGTATCAACAGTTAATAATTAACCAGTTAATGTTTGAACATTTCAAGAATCACGAGGGCAGTTATACAACCAATTAAAATACGCAATATTAACATATACATTCGAGTTTCGGTCACCTGATTACCCCCACCTCTTTCTTGGGGGACAGCTTTCATTCATTCATTCACTATGGGGACTTTGTTGATTCAGCCTATCTCTTTGGTAATCGATATAAATATCGGCCTATAACTATCGATACCATCCAAATATTGTATTTGAAATAACGATAGTCGATATTTTTATCGATATTAAAAATATTTTTGAAATATATACATTTTTTTTTATAAAAGAAATTTAGAACTGTATTAAATAATAAATACAACAAGTAAATATGTACAAGTAACATATCATGTACAACATGAAGAGAAATTACCCATTAGTAGCACTCCAATTATAGTTCTATGTTACAAGGTCCCGAGGTCATTTTCAGACGCCTCGGAGGGTTATCAGGAATAGAAGATGAAGGAAGGTTGGAAACAAGAAGAGTCGGAGGGTTCAGAAGTTTATCATGAAAGCAAAGGTATCTAGATTGTGCTAAATCGGAAGCATGTGGTACATTGAGGTCATTATGGATGATTTTATTTGTGACAAAGTAAGGAGCGTTGAGGATTTTACGAAGGATTTTGGATTGTGAAGATTAAATACGAGAGGAATTTGATGGTTTAGTGGAGTAGCAAAGCTCAATTCCGTCCAAATAGGTCTTATTATTGAGATATATATAAGTCGTTTGTAATTGATTGAAAGGTTATAGCGTTTGTCTAGTAAGTGCTGCAGTAGTCGAAAACGTCGGGCGGTTTCTAGTCGTTTCAGTCTGGTATGGGGGTTCTAAATGAATCGTTTGTCCAGGTGGAGTCCTAGATATCGGATTTGTTCGACAGTGATAAGAGGGCTATTGTTGAAGGATACTGTAGAGCAGGAAGTCATAGGTTTACGTCGAAGAGTGAAGGTAATTTGATGGGATTTATTGGTATTTATTTTAATCCTCCAGTTTTGACACCATTTTTCAAGACTTATTTATTAAAAATGTAATTGTTTTTTGAATGATTGAACAAAAAAATGTATATTTCATATTATTAATATCGCCTTGTCGATGTTTTCACTTCTATCGTGTGGTCTAAAGCACACTCTGTAGTTTTTATTCGTAACTGCGAAACGTTGACTGGTTTTTATTATAAATACTTGGTATTTGAGAGTCTTTTTTTAGAATTTAGTAATGATATCTAAAAAATATTTTATTTCGTTCTTATTATTTAATGCATGATTAATTATATATTATTGTTATTCACAGGTGATCCTCTCCGCTCTCGTAGCCGTGGCTTGCGCCGCCTCCTACGGTCATCACGAGTCCCACGAACACGCATACTCGACCCAGAACCAAGTTAACTACGTCAAGCATTCTGTTCCAGTCGAGATCAAAGTCAAGTCAGCTCCAGTAGTCCACCATGTTCCAGTCGTCTCCCATGTTCCAGTAGTACATCATGTTCCAGTGATACATCACGTACAAGCTCCGGTGTACCATCATTAAGAACCCCAGCCCAGCTATTCATTATTGGTCTCTATGAGAATCTAATTTCATCAATTGTCAAAATCATGCATCAAACATTTTTATTTATTGTAAATTAATAAATCCATTTGTTATTATAAAGTAATTTTTTTATATCAAGAAAAAAAAATCCTTTCCAGAAAGTCTAAATTGTATGAATCCTTGCATAACCTAAAAAGGTCATATTTTTTCTCTTTTCTGGGAAGTTGTTTATTTATTTTAGCTATTTGGCAATAATAACTTCCAATTGGTAACAATTGAGTATATTTCTATTATCAACGTTACATGTTAACAAGTTAGCTGAAGTTTCGGGATATTTATTCCCATCTTCGGAACTGCAATCCCAATACTCTTGTATGCAAGACTAAAAAAATTGTTTGAGTTATGATATTGTGCTAGTTACATGACATGTTTGAATTTTGTTGATATAATAAACTTTTAATTACCTTGAATTTAATAATAATGTGCTCCATCGTCAATTTTCTAATTCATGTTCTAAAATGTATTATCTAGAGCAATATTTTACTTTTGACCAATAATTGGGTTTCTGCCATAGTGAAAAAATTGACCTTTGGATCTGACTGTTTTATCTGACTATTTTTATTATTGTTGTTAATGTTTATTTTATGTATCTGTGATTTTACTTCTATTAAATTTTAATTTTGTTCAATATGTCCATTATATTCCTAAATGTTTAGTGTCTGTTTTGTTGTTGACTGTTGTTTTTTGTAATGTGTATTGCTTCAAGTAATTTCCTATTGGTGTTTTTTGGTTCTGTCAAAAGCAGGATGTTGCTCTAGATGATACATTTTAGAACATGAATTAGAAATTTGACGATGGAGCACATTATAATTAAATTCAAAGTAATTACAAGTTTATTGTATCAACAAAATTCAAACATGTAATGTAACTAGCACAATATCATAACTCAAAAAATTTTTTTAGCCTCGCATCCACAAGAGTATTGGGATTGCAGTTCCGAAGATGGGAATAAATATCCCGAAACGTCAGCTAACTTGTTAACATGTAACGTTGATAATAGAAATATACTCAATTGTTACCAATTGGAAGTTATTATTGCCAAATAATTAAAAAGGTTAGTTTTTTTATAATTTTATCATTTGTACCCATATATCCGGTCGATATATTAATGTCTCGCAAGTTTTTAAGACATTCTATACCATTTAAAGATATTAAATTAAAATATTTCAATGAACAGGAAAGCAACATCAACTGTGTCCTCATAAGTTGTTGGATGCTGATAGAATATTTGATCATCGACCAAACATCTTAGAGAATTGTGTGTTAAATGCACCAGTAGCTGACATACGTAAGTAAATTTCTTTGAAATTTTAATTGTCAAAACTTAAATATTGATATTATTGGATTTTTCTTGGATTCATTTTATAGATCCGCTTCTTACCTTACCGAGGTATATTTAAAATAAAAATTGTAAATTTAGAGAACAGCCATGTTGTAACTGTAGTAGACATTTTTGAAAATGTTGCCTGTTTGCTATAGCAGACAGATTTTCAAAAACAATTATGTAATTACGCGGAATAAAGTGTTGAGGTTTTTATATTCTTCATTTTAAAATATATATTATACTAAATACACCAGTGATCGACATAGCTAAGAAAATTTTTGTCTTTCTTGGTTTTTTTCGCAGTAATTATTATAGTTATAAACTTCTACGTTGGCCATTTAGAAACTATAGGTCTCCTTTTTCTATTTAATACTTTAAAATTGAACCCTTTTTGCCAGAAAGGGGTGAAGAGACAAAGAAAAAAAGTAAGTGAAAGTAAAAAAATCTGGTGCACCTACATCACAAGTTCTAATATTTCTTCTATTTTTACAAAGTTATTGTGTGACAAAATTGGATTATTGCAAAAAGTTTTTAATTAACAATACTAGAATGTATTGAATTTTTTACATTGATCTTCCATAAGCCGGTTTAAATTGTTTTAGTTTATGAAATAAATCGCAGTCATATCTTTGCTTTGATCAATTTTCAGGAAAATAAATCTAATTATTTTTTTTAAAGTATATTATAAACGTCTCTGAAATAGGTAGAAAAGTCGTGTGAGTGGACACAACAGATTTTCCTACCTCACTAACGAAGGTAGGGAAGCATTGTATCCGTGCGAGAAGTTAAAAAAGATTTTGTGCTCAGAATCGAAAATGTCAACTCGCTTTACGAGTAAATACATACTTATTAAGTATATATCACTACTGTTAGTGTAAAGGTCGTGTGTAAAAGTTTTCAATTTTTATTCTGTTTGTTTATTTAGACTTTAAGGCGTAAAACCCTAAGGACATCAACACCTGTGAGTCAGTTATGTTTGTAAACTCTTTAGAGGAGAAACAGAAAGAAAAAAAATGAACAATCAAAAATTAATAATAGATAGATATAGTGGTATATGAAAAAGATATTTAAAAACGTATAAAAATGAAATATATTAAAATAGATACAAAAAAAGAACAATAAAATACAAACTATATCTATTTTTATATTTTATTTAATAGTCTATGGGTTTTAAGAAATTTTATCACGGTTCCTATGTTTGATTCGTCGTTGTAATACTACTGATGGTTTTAGAGATAATCGATTTAGGCTTGAAGTATAATTAGTGCATTCTTGGAAAATATGGTTGACTGTGAGAAGGTTATTGCAATGCTGACAATTTGGAGGTGGCTGCTTAGTGATGAGATGTACCTGAGTTAGGTTCGTGTGTCCTATTCGGTTTGATGTGATCCAGGGCTTAACTGATTTTTTAACAACTTTTAATTTGCTAGGCAGGCTTTCGTTAATTTTTATTCTATTTTTGAAATTATGTATTCTGCAATTGATATAAGTAGTCTACTACTATGAAAAATAGCAGAGAGCAATAAAATATAAAATTATACTAATAAATCATAAAGAAATGATTAATTTTTATGCTCTCCAGTAAAACACTCAATTTTTACATAGGTCATTTGCATTAACCGTAGGGACATACATATTCAGTAAGCACTGGTTTTTTTTTTTTTAATTACGAATTATCTGCAAATGTGGAACTTTTCCGCGTTTTAGTATTTGCTGATAAACAAAACTAGTGAATATCAAGCCATGATGTTGAGGGATTACTGAATTTCCGAAAATGGCTTCTTTCAGAGATTTTATTCTTATAAAAAAATTTTTAGACCTTTAAATGTAGATATTTTTTAGTAAATAAAAACGGCGAGGAAGCTATACTGACCTTACTTGGCAGACGTTTTTTACTTTGAACTGACAATTCTTTACTGAGTTGTCTTAAATTGTGCAATACAAATTAGTGAATATACCAAATTCATTTATTTGAACTGCAATAAGTGAAGAATTTATATTTCGAACTATGAATAAAATATAACGAAAGTGTATTTAATTAATATAATAATTAAACAGCGAATAAGAAAACACATATTAGAGTGGAAATTAAAACATCTTATGTTATGTTTTTTTTTTTTCCTTAAAAGTCGTGATTTTCAGATTCATTAGTTAGCAATTGTATCGACGATATGATAAGCGTTCTGCGGTAATAGTAGCACTTAAGAGACTTTTAGAAAGAATAACTGTTTATTTCGCGTCTTGATGCCCGCGTCGAAATCTTTATAACATAATTTATCCCGTCTCGATTCATTGACTTTTGATACCATCTGAGTTCTGAAACCGCCCAATTTCTTACATTATTTTAGTTGTGGTAAGATTTATAACTTTGAAATGGGCATTTGTCACTTCTTGATGAAATTTCTTTTAGTTTGATATCTTCCAATACCGTATGCCGACGAAACGTGTATCCTGTCAGTTAATAACGATCCATCTATTGCATCCCAAACTCTTCAATCACACATCACAAGCCTTGAAACATAGTGTCAAAAATGGAGGATTAAATTCCAATAAATCCCATCAAATTAACCATACTCTTTGTCGTAAACCTATGATTCGCTGTCCTACAGTATCCTTTAACAATACCCCACTTATTCTTGTCGAACAAATCCGATACCTAGAATTCCACCTGGACCACCCGATGTTTTCGATTACTGCAGAACTTACTAGACGAACGCTCTAAATTTCCAACTATTTACAAAAGACTCATATATATTACTATAATAAGGCCTATTTGGACTTAAGGAATTGAGCTTTGGGGCTCTACTAAACCATCAAATTCCTCTCGTATCCAATCCATACAATCCAAAATACTTCGTAAAATTTTCAATGCTCCTTACTTTGACACAAATAAAATCATCCATAACGACCTTCATGTGCCGTTTGTTTCTGATTTGACCCAATCCAGATACCTATCCTTCCGTAATAAACTTCTGAACCATCCGAACCCTCTCTTTTCTAACCTTGCTTCATCTTCTATTCCTGATAACCCTCCGAGGCAACTGAAAAGAAGATGGCCTCGGGATCTTCTAATATAGAACTATAATTGGAGTGCTACCAATTGGTAGTTTTTCTTTAGGTTGTACATGTCATGTTACTTGTTTCATATTTACTTGTTGTATTTATCATTTAGTACAGTTGTAAATTACAATAAAAAAAAGTTTGATACGTTATTTAACCAAATCCATCGCTCCTGATTATTTATTTAACTATACTATCGTATTTTAGTAGATTACCTAACTAGATATAGTAGTATATTTAACGATTTCGACAACAAAAACAATTTAAATGTTCTAAAAAATTCGACTGTACGCAACACCTTCAATGACCGATAATGGAGACGTCAGAGTTATTTATAATGTTCAACATGAGTAACCCAAGGGCAATTATATGCGGCGGCGTTATGGTGTATAAAATATTGATTTTATTTATTTGCAGCCTCATGACCGCCTTTAGTGGCCTGTATTTTATATTTTTCTCTCGCCAAGATATATATTTCGTTTCTGTCCATGAATGGAAAGTAGATTTATATTTATTTCTTACCTGTACCACTACAACCCATGAAGGGTCTGAGGTTCAGTACTATTCAGGGA